GTTTTGTGTGATGATTTGAAATAAGATTGACAAAATTTGGCCAATAAAATGGCTTGTTTTACAGTGTCCATTATGCTCCCAAACAACTAATATTAGAAGTATATACATCCGCTGCTTAAGAGAGTGTACCACACCACTCCTGGGTACACTAAAAACCGCTTTGCCACTCCTCTTTAGTATAAGATAGTCATACCTCTACCCAATCAAAAATAGCATAGTGGACATTCGTTTTATCACTTGTGACAAAATCGATCATTGATCTTTTTTATATTGTAAAACTTGCTATTTCAATTGAATTTAGAATAGAAAAAAATAGCGTGACTGCGCACAAAACTCATTTTATGGAAAATCTAATTTTTTTTTATATATTAATATATCACTTTGACTTTTCTTTATATTTGGGTAAAACTTGATCAATTTGATCAATTTGATTTCAAACAAGTTACCTTAGAAGTAAAAGTTTAAGGCTTCTATGATCTTGGTAGTCAGAATTGTGTCATTATTTATTGTCAATATATTTTTTTAAAAATATAAATGATAACATTTACTTTATTAATAAGTCATTATTATACTTGCAGGTAAAGACTTATTCTATATTCTCATTATTATTATACTTTAAAGAAATAAGTATTTTTTATATATTTGATTAACTTATAACTTATATTCAACTTTTTCCAATAGTACAAAGATCATACAGTAGGTAGCATAGTGGACTTTCGATTTTGATCAACATTCAAAATCATCATGTTACACAATCGACATAGTCAATAAAAAAATTTCATAAAATAAATATTTATTTTTTAATTAAAATGACCCAATCTAATAAAGGTCCTTGTTCCATTCTTAATTGTAAAAAACCCGAAACCTTATAGAAATTTTACTACAGTTTCATATGGGGCATGCTGCAACAAAACCAGACAAAGTGAACATTGGTATTATCAAAGATTTCAGGGATCAAAATTTAGTCATTTGTAATGTGATTATAATTATCAGTTTCTTAAGTGATATATAGAAATACTCCTATATAAAAATAGTTAATATGAAACTCATTTACATCCGATCTACCATGGAACCAAAGAATTACAGCACCATTAGAAGTATTTTGAAAAAGGAACAAGGTGAAAAAATTGCTCCTTACATTTTTAAATT